GTAATCTCCTCGTGGGAGTTGTCTCTGGGGTAATCGAGTTGATCGAGTTACGTTTTCGTGGAAGTTGTCTCACGATAATGTAGTAGCACGGAGCTAGTATTCTCCTCGTGGGAGTTGTTATTTTTCGACATTTTCAATGTTTTGACGCGTTGCTTGTATGTGTTTACATATAGCCTTCTGCGTGATGTACTTGAGGAGGGGATCAGACTCTCAAGATTTTTTTTTTTTTATATGGGGGTCGTGCCCCTTGTTAGACATCGTGGGTCTTAAGTATGTTTGGACCGTGGCCACGTTTTAATGAATGACCCATCGAAAACGAGTAGATAAATTTGAGTAATCAAGCTGGCCAGGCTATATAGATTCTCATAATATCTCTAAGTGTTTCTAGGGTTGTAATCGTGCTAACTTGAGCTTGCGATTATATGGTGAATTTCGGGCGAGTTGTCTCCTCATGGGAGTTGTCTCGCGGTGAGTAATATTATCGAGCGAGGTGGTTGCACGTGAGAGTTGTCTTGCAACGAATTTGTAGTGTCGAGCGAGTTGGCTCCTCGTGGGAGTTGTCTCGCTGCGGGTTGTAGTATCGAGCGAGTTGGCTCTTCGAGAGAGTTGTCTTGAGCGAAGTTGTAGGAGCATTGGATGATGTGCGATTTAGGCGCGTGTGGATTGAGGTTGCTCTGAGCGAGTTGTCTCCTCGTGGGAGTTGTTTCGCAGCGAGTCTTATTATCGAGCGAGGTGGTTGCACGTGGGAGTTGCCTTGCAACGGATTTGTAGTATCGAGCGAGTTGGCTCCTCGTGGGAGTTGTCCCGCTGCGGGTTGGGGTACCGAGCGAGTCGTCTCCTCGTGGGAGTTATCTCGCTGTAGGTTGTAGTACCGAGCGAGTTGGCGCTTCGTGGGAGTTTCCTTGTAAGGGGTTGTAGGACCGAGCGAGTTGTCTCCTCGTGGGAGTTATCTCGCTATGGTTTCGTAGACCCGAGGGAGTTGGCTCCTCGTGGGAGTTATCTCACAACGGGTTATAAGACGGAGCGAGTGGTCTCCTCGTGGGGAGTTATCTCGCTATGGTTTCGGAGACCCGAGGGAGTTGGCTCCTTCGTGGGAGTTATCTTCGCAACGGGTGGTAGTACTGAGCGAGTTGGCTCCACTTGGAAGTTGTCTCACAAGCCCCCCACTCACTTGATAATTGCTAATAGATTGTGTAGTAAGAAAAGAGGCGAAAAGAATTGGTGAATTGGTTAAGAAAATGAATGGATGAAGTGAGTGGGTATTTATAGGTGAAAATTGAGAAAAATAAAAAGGAAATGGTCGTGGAACCGACCGGTTCCGGACCGGTTTAGTTCCAGCCATTCTAACAGTAACTTCATCAGGTGATCTTGACCGCTGATCACTAACAGTCAAGTAATCCCCGCCACCCGTTCAAATCCTAATCAAAACTGGAACCGAAATCGGTTCGGATTTTATGACCACTAGCGTTTTTTTTTTCTTTTTTTTAAATTCGACCGTTTGAGGCCGCCATGTGGATTTTTTTTTTTTTTTTTTGAAAATTCGACCATTAGAAATAATATTTACTAATTTATTTTCTTAAAAAAAATAAAAAAAAAACCGGTTAGACATGTTCTAACCGGGGTTAGAGGTTACAAAAATGGGGAACCGATCTTTTCGGTTCAAGTTCCGGTTTTGGTCAAACCGTGGTTCCGGTTAAAAAAGCGTAAACCTTGGTGCGGTTCCGGTTCTAACCGTAACCGTGGTCATGTCGAGGCGACATATCTTTTAAAACTCGAATAAAAGAGAAGTTAGTCCACTCATCTACATACAAAGAAATGCATGTTATTGAAAATCAACCTGACGCTAGCAAGCGTCTGGCAGTAGCCGATATGTTAAAAACACTTGAAGTGGTACCGGACAAATCCATTGAACGTGACCAAAATCAGATCTGACTTGGCGCCTGAAGTAGAAGAAGCAATTATTTATTTCTTAAGGAGCAACTCTGATGTTTTGTACATGATCAAATGTTTATGTCGTTCCACCTCAATTAAATTGGTCTTCCTATCAAAATCAGCGCAAGGGTATTTCAAGTAAGAAGCCCACACTGGAGAAAAAAATTAGAGGTGGTCCAAAAAACTAAAGCAAGGCAAAGAAGGCATGTACCATTTTGATTTTTCATTATATGGCAATTTGTTTTTGGAATTGACATATAACCAATTATTTTTTGATAGATTAGTTTTTTGGTTACTTAATTATGGATTTGACATATTGCTAGTTATTATAATTTTTCTTATTATGGATCTGGCATTTTGCCAATCTTCTTTTTGTGTGTGCGCGCGCGTTGTGTCAATTTTTGTATTCACTTTATTACTGAAATTATTATATTTTAGCTTTTACGGTGAACTTCTGGGGCAATTTGATTTTTTTTTAAAGTCCGATAATATAAAATTACAAGTGATTGCATATAAACAAAAGTAACACAATTATTTTATTAAATTAAATTTTATTAAATAAATTTTATTTTAAATATAAGAATAAATATTTAATGAATTGTATGGCTCCAACACTGGATTTAGGAACTCCAAAAAAATTATAATATATAAAATAATAAAATATAATTGAAGTGTAAAAGTATCGGCTTGTGTTTTTAGGAGGCGAATTTAATGCAAAACGAATGTAACAGAGGTGGATTTCGTGCTTACTAGTTACTTCTCTAAACACAAGACGGTTTGAGAAAATGTTAATTTAGTCTTTTCGAATTCAAATTCCCTCAAAAATAAATTTCAGTTGCACAAATGGCATGTGAAATACCCTCATCTAATGGATTAGACGGAATGAGATTTTATGCGACGGAAAATAAAACACAAGGGGATTTTACGCAAAAAATAAATAAATAAATAAAAGTAAATACAAGGGGGTTTTGTGCAGGTTTTTGTTAACGCAAATGGGTGTTATGATGTTTAACCCGATTATGATGACGGTTGAATTTTTATTTTTTATTTTTTTAACTTCTTTACATGTAATATTTTTGAATAACGACTTGACAATTTTATCATAATCAACATGCTAGTCATGTGCAAAATACGTGCATCAATGTTTTTTTATGAAATGATCAAAGAAACAAGTAAGAAAATTTCCATTCAGGGTTATTAGTTCCTTCATATAAGCGTAAGACTTCACGTATAACGTAAATTATTTTTCTGAATATTACAATGCCATAAACATATCATAGTTTTCTAAGCAAGTGGCCTTTAACTTTTGGAGTTAACAACTACTTAATATTACATAATCCACAATATCAATATCAACATTGTACAACACCACGATGATGCTAAATTTAAATTCTCGAATTCGAAAAAAAACAACAAATTATTAGACAACTACATAAGATTACGGAATTCACAATATGAATGTGTGCCTTGTATAGAACAATGGTGCTAAATTTGAATCCTCACATTACATAAGAAACAACCAAATCACAAAGACATAATAATACGTATACATATAGTAGATGAGTTGATAATAGGAAATGAAAACAAATGGTTAGATAAAATTTGGCAATTTTTTTTCTCACTCGATCCTCTATCACTTAGTGTTGCAGTTTCTAGTAATTATTACAGAGTTAGGTGGACTCGTCATTTCAAACAGACATTATGCGTGCAACCAATAGGAATAACAATAACTAACCATGCCCTTCTTAATTCTAAACTTAAAAGATTATCTATATTGAAATAAGTGTGTCCCTCTACTCTTCTAGTTGTTGAAATTTCAAAACAAGATTCGGTGATGGTTCATGCCAAATCGTTTGCAGTTCAACCGGTACCAAGCGAGTTTCTCCAGTCTTCAGACTGAGAGGGTTCATGAAATCTAAACATTTTAATTTCTTTTACAAATATTTGAGATCAATGACTGGGCGCTTAAATCTACACCAAATTTCTTGCTCGTGCTTGAAACATTTGCTACAATTATTAAATTTATGATACAAGACTCATGTAGATTGAACTTGATGGCAATGTTTGCTATGGATTTTTGGATGGCACGGTGAAGTAGAACATTATTTTCAAAAGCTTTTCGAAAAAAAATTCAAACGTCTCTACTAAACATTATTTGACCGGAGAAAATGTTTTCACTAAAATACAAATTAAAATCATCGTTTGACTTGCTACAGTACAAATTACCTCCTCCCAAAACACAAACAAAATTTATTTTATTCCCAAATTCTTCTCCCAAAATATCTTTCTGCAGAATAAAATGGAAACAGAAGCTCAAAAGCCTACCAAACATAACCTTTATTTCTTCAGATTGGTCGGTGGGCACTTCTTCGGCGAGAGAACGGCGGCAGATCGAGTTGCTGGTGTTGTAGCAGATTACCGCTTAAAAGAACTTGCAGAAACAGAGACGCCATGTATGCATAATCCTAATTTTAAGAAGAAATTTTTTTTTTGGGTATTAGTGGGTGGACTAAACTAAATTACTTGACTGGGCTAAATATATATAGCTATTGCAAATTATTTATATTCCACTGTTGGCTGAAGCCCACCCATGCCACCGTCAGAGGGTGGATACGATCCTGATTAGGAACCTCGTTCAATAATACAGAAATTTAAAGAACACTAGCAATGACAACGCACATAGTATGCAACAAAACTTAAAGCATGAAAAAAAATGTTTTAATTGTTTAAATGCAAGTATATATGCCTTGTACGACAATTGGAACCCGCAAGTACATCTACTCGTGATAAGGAAAATCGAGTATAGGGAATCATGAAAGTGAAGCGCTAGTTTTCCACACAGCCTTTGACAAGCATTCAAAGCCTGTCGTGTGGGAGTCATTTCAATACATTCGACCAAATTAAAAACCTTAATCGACTTGAATTGAATTAACTTGAATGTAGTCGACTAAAAAATAATCAACTGGTATGTATGCAGTCAACTTGATTTAGTTCACTATATCATATTTTTTTGAAACGGGATTGACCATTCTGGAGCAGAGTGGAACATGTGTTTACTTTGGAAAACATAGACACAAAATGGATTATCCCTTAAAACAGTAAAAGGACTACTAGATTCATGACATTGTCGATATTATACCAAGTTTCCGACATGTACAACGCGATAATTGCGCAAAATATAAACAAAATATAAAAGTAGTTAGATAAGCTGATTCATATACAGATATATATTTGAAGTGACAGACAGGGACAACATTTACAGTAAATGTTCCTGTCTCAAAAGAGGGCTGATTGATTTGGTGTTTGTCAAAAATATTCTTCCAGCAGCAGCATCTGTTTTCACAAAGGAAAAGTTGTGTTAGAACTACCGCCAAAAGATCTCTGATTATTGCAATATTAAGTAGCTAATCATAAGAAATTCGGAAATAAGACTAAATGCACATAATTTCTGCATGAACATCCACAAAGAAGACACGAGCTTCAGCAGTGACATCACAACTTAATTACAGGCTGCCTGCCTTCACAACAAGTTCACATCCTCTACAATCATAATACTGCTTAGTTCCAGCATGTCTGAACAATGAAGAAAAATCACATCCTCTAATCTTCAGTTATATTGTGCAAAATCAGTTTTCGAGGATCAACATAAAAGATTAGAGTAATATTACGTCACACTTACAAAGCCACAGCTAAGGCGAACTAAAGGTTATCGCTTATCAAAGTATTGCTAAGGGCTCGGTTTCTTGCTAAAGCCTACTTCCTTCCAAGTTGCAAGGGTGAAAAAGGTTGACAAGAATTTCAATATAAATATACACAAAATCAAAAGGTAGAAAAGAAGTTGCAAAACCAAATTGTGATTCTAATCGTGGCCATCTCTTGTTAAATTTAGTAGGCAAAACTAAACAATCAAATTCGCTTCTTTTTTCAAACTCTTTCAGATAGAATAACACTTTACTAGGAGAGAAATTTGTGAGATTATGAATTACCTGAATGCATGGATATATGTTCAAGGATTGTTCATTAAAAGCTATCTAAGCTCGTCGGAACGACCGGCAGATCTTCTTTTCTTCCAAAGCTAACTTCTTGCAAACTATTGATTCATGATTTAAATATTCAGTAAATAGGTCTCTTAATTGCTTTGCTCTCTTGTAAGATTCAGTTCCTGAACGTACTATTTCCAGTTCTTTGTCAGTTCTAATGTTTTCATCCTGCATAGCAAAAAATTAACATTATCTCTAAAATTTGGAAAATAGGTGCTGAAAGGCCAGGTGATTTCATATAACTGAAAGTGAGCGTAAACGCAAGCGATAAAAGTAAAAACTGTAAACCTTCTTTTAGTATATCAGGATTAAAAGTAAGAGAGAGAAACCTAAAGCTCATTTGACTGAGATACATCTTGTGGGCCTATTCATCAATACTCATTATTTACACATCTTGTGGATTGGTTATTAACCTCTCATTAGAAGCCTTGAAAAGTGACAAATGGATATCTTATCTTTGCTTTCGTGCAACAACAAAGAGTTAAATACTAGACTTACCAGGTCTGTCGGGATTAACTTCCATGTACTTGTAAATGTTCCTGCAATTGGTCTTTCAGTAATAACCCATGGCCTGCATAAAGTAGAAAATTAGAAAATGCTTAGTTTCCATCAAGAAAGCAAAAATCTCTCTCTCCAAACAGTTAAACGTATAACTTACAAGAATGAAAAGCCTGGTCACATTATCTGGATCAGTTCAAATATTCATGAGAAACTAGTATTCAATGCAGTAGTCGTGAAAAAATGTTTGTTAGGCAAATATTGCTTACTTTTGATGATAGTAAATAATGAAGTGTTATGATAAATTCTCCAAAAAAATATTTTGTTGGGAATCTTGTAAAGGGTTATCTTATCTGTTGAGAATGTCAGATGGAAGTAGAACAGTACACCAAAGTTGACTAAGAGTCGAGTGAAGTGGCAAGCTGAAACAATTGAATTGAGGAGTCAGCTGGATCATACAGCAAGTCAATTAAAGTACCCGAGCAGACCAAGTTAGCTAAAAGAAAGACATGAATTCAGCTAAAGAAAAGATGGAGAATACGACAAACAACTTATAGTAATATCTCAGAAGTGATGGTCAAAGCTAAACATCAAAAGGAGGAATGTCCAAAATTCAAAATCAACGAATAAAAAGGTTAAATGAAGTTCGAGGATCTGGATCGGGAAATCACTGTCAGCAAGTGAGTGTCAAAATGGTCAAGAATTTATAAGACAAATTCAATCGGGGTCATTCAACAGTCAGATCTGAATCTCTGGATATAAAAAGGAATGTAACGGAAAAAAGAAACGAAAAAGAGAGAGAAGAGAGAATACGCGAACAAAGCTCCTATGCAAAATCTTTCTCAATTTATCAAGCTAAAATCAGTTCTTCCTGGGAACTACGATAAGTTTCCCTTAAACTGACTGCTTTAAAGTCTTGTATTGCTAATTGCTAATTGTTTTACTGTCCAAACATTTTCAGCATAAACAGCTGAGTAACAATTGTATTTCGATTGTTCATATTAAGTGAAAAAGAACAAAGGAATTGCTGCAACTTGTATTGCATTCCATAAACTGAACTACAAAGCAATCCGAAAAAGAACCAAAGAATTGCAGAAGGGGGGAGAGAGTTTTCCCTGATAGTATGATGCATATATTATATTGTATTGCACCACTACCCTGATATAAATGTATGACACTAGCCTTTAGAAGTTGTTAAAGCAATAAATATTAGATGGTAGTTTAAATTATACACTTGAAACAAAATAAACACTGCTTGAATAAGCATGAATTAGAAACGTAATTGAGATAGATGACTACTTTCAACTTTTATTCCAGTGTGTGCATGTAAATCAAATGAAAGGATCTTTTTAAAAAATCTCTAGAGGATGTAAGGATATGAGAAGAGGGTAGGTTTAGCATAATAACAACTCCACCCAACAAATGAAACTTAAATTTTATAAACACAAATGGATATATTATCATGCCCGAGTATTCATGGGAAAACATGTAAGATTTAAAGAGTTGCATCATCATAATTAACTAGAGAATATTAAGTGTGTTAAATCTGCAGAAAATAGTAGAATGAACTTCCAAAACAAGTTCAAATAAGTATGCAACTTGTATAAACAAATGATATTGCGAGATGAAACTTATTTTTCCTAAATATTACCTTCCCCTTGAAGACACAATTAGGTTGTTAGGATTGTCCAAGAACTTGTATATTGTTTGAACCTTCTTCTGAGAATCCACCACAATGGCTCCTCTTGCAAATGGATCGGATGACAGTCTTGGAAAAACAAGAGCTTGGGGCAAAATAGTAGTTTGTTCGAAAATGAATTTCTTGATCGATGAAGGGTTCAAGTCTTTCTCTAAGTTATTGATTAGTATGAAATGTTGACCTTCAGCTCCAGCTAAAACATCGCAAGGTTCGGATCCAATATCTTCATCTCGACTCCTTACTAAATATGTCATGGAAAAATAAAAACAAACATAGGAATGAAAAAAACAAAATTAAAAGATGGCCTCTACAACAGCACAAGAATGTACTTCTTAAATAAATATTACTTAATGGTAATAAAATTCAGGACAGTAAACCTTCACTTTCCCATTTCAGGCTCTTCCGTGTCATGCTATTCTTCGTCTCCTAAAACGAACTTATCCAATCAAATCACAAAAACGAAATTTAACAAAAAAAAATTACCATTTAGAAACTCAATGTTAATCCTTACCAAGGGTCTAATTTGAGATGACTCTACGTTGTTTTTCTTTTTGAGAGATGATGGACCATTAGATGCTGAACCAAGACTTTCTGAAACTGAGATATATTTTGAAGCACTGATTTTCTGTTTTACCAATGTCACAAAGTCAAAGATTCTCGGATCAATTTGATAATCAGACTCCAACGTGCAAATGCTTCCAATATTAGCGGTGGTTAAAGTACCATCACCACGTCCATGTTTCCAGAATAGCACAAAAGTGCACAAGCACTCCTCTTCTTCACCACGAAACGAATGTGACCGGCGGTTTACCTACAAAATATAAGATGAAACAAAACAAAAGGATTGAGCATTTACATCAGATATACAGCATTACCTATTTCACATTAAATTCAGATTTCAGAATCCTACTCTGACAGTGCCTAAAATTCATTTAATAAAAGCACTTTAATGAACTTGATCACATATTTTTCAGGATATCCAAATACATGAACGACGTTAAACCGGAATTGAAAAGTAATTGAAGGAAGTGCAGGCTTGCATCTAGGTGCATTGCAAGATACTGATCATGCTAAATTTAATATCTTAAAATCAAATGATCTCCAAACCTTAAACCATTAACCAACATCTCAAATAAAATTCGTTTTACACAAAAAGTTGCAGAAGTGGAAACAGTATCTACCCAAGATTCTCAAATTTATTAAACCCTCTATCTTATAAAGGAAAGTCTTGATTTCGTTTTCTGCTTGTTCCAGTCTGCATGTTTTGTTTTTGAAAATCTAAAAATTAATTCATTTGATTGCCATTTGGCAAGTATGTCAGCTTACAAATATAACTAATTTAGACATGACAACATATAACCATAATAGACAAAAGTGCACAAACACTCATCTTATCCACCACCAAACGAATGTGACTGGTGGTTCACCCAGCAAATATAGGATGAAGCAACACAAAAGGATTTGGGTATTACAAAACCGAGAAGAAGAAATTATAACAGCTAAACTTCACTAATGTAGTATAGTATATAGATAGCATTACCTATTTCAAATGAATTCAGAATCTTAGCACGGAGGAACACAAAATTATTTTCTCCTAATAAACTTAGCACATTAATTAACTTGATCAAATATACTTTGAGGATATCCAAATACACCAGAGAAGTTAAACTGAAACAGAAAAGTAATAGAAAGAAGTTCAACTTGCATCTTTGTGCATTCGAAGATAATATCTTAACAATCAAATTATGTGAAGACCTTAAATTAGTAACCAAAACTAGAAATAATATCTTCCCAAGATCTTCAAAATTATTACTCCCTCCATCTCAAAAAGGAAGTATTGCTTCCTTTTTTTCTGTTCCAAATTTCCAATGCACACTTCTATTCCAATGCACACTTCCATCAAAGCTAGATTAAAGATCTTAAAGCCACCTCTCTAATGGACATGATGAACCAATTAAAGTCGTTAACAATTCTTGGGATTCCTCTAGCAAATTGGGCCGATCATTCTTTCCAAGAAATGACAAATACGAAATTATTGCTCTACACCTTAGTCATAATTATGGGTAACTTGTGTTGTGTCAGTTCATTTACATTTTTTTCAAAAAAACCATCGGGGGCAGAGGGTTAAGCAGATCCCTAACTTGTATGTCAAAAAACAAATGACGACAACCCAAAAGATATTTATCGATGTTTAATTAAGCAGCTCGTATAAAGACACTTCATGGTGTTTCTTTTAGCACATGTAAACTGATACTTGCTCAGTTTATTTGGGATTTATATGCTTCAACAACGATTATAGCATACAGTTTCAATGTAGCTGCTGTATTATTGTTCACCATCTGATCTTTTACGCAACACGTCTTCAAAACAAAACATGAAATTACTTACCCAGCAACCAAACGCTATTATATGAGCAAATTAGCATTTAAAACAATAACAATAGTAATAATAATAATAAAAAAATAATAATAAGAGGAAGAAGAAGGAAAATAATAATAATAAAAAAAATAATAAAAAGAGAGAATAGAAGAAGGTCACATCATCAATAACGGCGTCGTAGAATCTGAGATCGTTATCTCCGGTGCCGTGGGCGGCGCAAACGGTGGCTCCGATTTGGAGTTTGGCGCAGTCATGATCCTGCAACTGCTGAGAAATAGGTCGGAAACGGCGGGCAAGCTCATCGGCTTGGGACTCCGTGTGGAACTCTGCGGCGTGGAGTACGCGCTCGTAAACCTCCGGCGTGCACAAGTATTTGATGGTGAGTGTGTGGGATTGGGCATCAAAAACGACGTAGACGCTGTACCAGGCGTCGTCCTCACTTGCCCTGTACTCTAGGTCGTACACTGACGGCAAATCCTCCGCTTCGGATTTTATCACCTTTCCGACTATTTCACCCGGCATTCTCTAAAACTTCTTTCTTATACTGGATAACTTTTTTTTTTTTTTTTACAGAGAGGCCGAAGTGTGGGTGGTGGTGACAAGGAAGAATGTCACACAATTTCAATTTTTACTAGAATATCACACATTCCCCTCACCACACTCCACTTTCTTTACACCACTAATTTCTTTTTCTTTTTCCTTTTTTTTTTTTTCCTAAACCTTTAAACACTTTTTTTTTTTTTTTTTTTTAAGAGAACGACACCCGATGATGGTAGGGGTTAAGGCTTGGCCCCCTACCTGTTTATAACACAAAATTTAAGAAGTACATAATGAGTTTCGCTCACTTTACCTCAACTTTACATATTTACCCACCCCAACCTAGTTTAGTTCATCTCCAACAATTATTTTTAAATTGGTTGTCTATATCTTTAATTTGACATATGTACAATGTTATGCACTACTACTTTTAATCATATACTCCAACAACCTTGTTTATAATTTAAATAACAATTATATTTTATTATTTTTTCATATTATAATTTTGAATTTTCCGTAAATTTGGAGATTTAAAGAGATGGGTTGTTGTTTTTTTTCTTCTTATTATTCACAATTGGTTAAATTTTAACTTTCATTTTCCAAATTTGAGAAACCAAAGTTACCATTTGTTAACTTTTGCATTTTTCTATTACACTGTTGGAGCTCTGATTTTGCTCTCATATTGTGTAAAAAGTGCAAATAAAAGAATTGCACCTGACTGTTGGAGTTGCCCTTAGAAGAAAAACAAAAACCCGATTAACACTATGTAGAGGGCTCAAATTTGTATAGTATATGAAAATAGGGATGAAACGAAATGACGAAAAAAAACACACTGTAACTTGGAGATAAGGGCGAAACCGAACCGACATTAGAAAAGAAAATGGGTCATGTTACTTTTTTGGAGAAGAAAATAGCGATGTGACGCTAACTAAAGATTAAAAGTGGAAAAAAATGAAATAAAATTGGAGAACACTTTCACAGAAGGATAATTATTTACAATAATCTGAAACGGATACGCGGAACAAGTCTTAGGTGGTGTTTGCAAATGCTTTTTGAAAGTGATTATGCGGTTTTTTTTGCTCATAATCTGTTTTTAGGTGTTTGCAAAATCAACTTTTGCTTTTGCTTCTCTTAAAATAATCTGCTTTAAGCTATTTTTTTAAAAGCACCCATAACCCTGCTTTTTCAATTTTAGTTCATTTTCCGATTTTTTTGCAAACACCCCCAACTTTTAAAAATAAGCACTTAAAACTAACTTAAATCACAATCACTAACTTCTGCTTTTAAATAATCATTTGCAAACACCACCTTAAAAGGATACTTTCACATAATTTCAAATGGAAGAATACCAAAGATATGTCATGTTTGGCAAAATATTACGCCTTCTGTATATTATGTACGTATTTAAATGCTATAATGCTTCTTTGTTAACAATGAATATTAGACTTTTATGTAAAAGAAATCGCAACATCTCAATTAGTTGGTTTTATACTAGCTATCACAAAATGAATAATTATATGGTTTCTACAAAGTTAAAAATGCCCCACAAAATTAAGGATAAAAATGTTAAAATTAGCTCCGCACAGTGCAATAGATGACATAGTGGTTGGAAACACTCCAACAACTGCGATACGATGGCACAAAATATTATACAAAAACTCTATTAATATAACTATAAATAAAAATAATAACGCAACAAATATCATTATAAACAACAGTAGAAATATGAAAATTCATCTATATACTAAGTAATAAAATTCATATCATAGTAAAAAAAAAAACAATTCAGCAATATTAGTAAAAATATATACACCAGGTGGGATGGATATAAATTCCATCATCCTAAAAGTAGTGTTGGCACTGAAAATGCCTTTGCATTACTTGTGGATTCATCAATCAACTCACTTGGATGCAGTGAGTACATGAATGTGATACAGGATGGGCATAAATTTTCGGGGTACAGGGGCAACGCCTTTACAAAAAAAATAGGATTTTTTAGTGACAAAATCAAAAAAATAGGGAAAAAAAGAAAAGAAAAAAAAAGGTGTTTTTGTATAATTTTGAATTTTGGGTGGATTAATTAATAATAATTGGAGCTTTTTATACATTAATTTGAATTTTGAATGAGCTAATTAGTAATTAATAACTATTGAGTGAGCTTAATAAATATATAAGTATAATAATTAATATACGGTAAATTTTATAATTTAAGGGTAGGCTTGAGTCCACCCTCCCAAAGGGGTGGACTTGCCCCTGCTTGGATACGATACACTAGTCGATTATCTTGCCACCAAATATTTCGCACAACTTTAGGACTTCCTTAAAAATCTATATAATATATAAAATGAAATGCTTTTTACAATTTGAAATTGCTATTTACGGTTTATAACAAAAA